ACTAGTATTGAAGGGCACGACAAGGGTATTGTTATTACATAATCCTAATGAGGAAGATCCTATTATTATTCAAATCGTTATTACATGAGCCTTACAATGGTGCTACTATTAAAGAACTAGATAAAGGAAACAAAGGTATCGTAATTCAGTGAGCCGGATAAAAATGTTATTAGTAAAGGGTACGATAAGAATGTCGTTACTATATGATCTTGATGAGAAGGCTACTATCAAAGGGCATGATTATGGCATATATTACATCAGCCTGATAAGGAGATTACTATTAAAGGCTGTGATAAGAATGTCGTTACTTGAAGGCTACTATTGCATACCCGTTAATATTAGCACAATTAACATATAATGTAACAACAATGACAAAGATATTATTATAAAACTTTATTATATTTATTCTAAAATTTTTTCCTATGTTATGGTTTTTACATTAATAGTTTTGTGCGATTTTAAATATTTTGCAATGCATAGTTCATTTCAAGTTTTTTCTCTTAGCCCGGTAGATGTGCTGATTAACCGTGGACTCATGGTTTAGTCGTTGTCGGTTATTGTAGCAACGACATTGCCATAAGACACTCTTGATGTTCTTACTTTTGGTTATTTATTACTATATGAATCTTCATAACGTCCTTAGATTACGTTATTTTATATTTTCGGTGAAAATTAATTTTCTACTGAGTTTGATTTTTCAACTAGATATGTTTTTACGTCCTTTATTTATGAATGTTATGTAATAGAGTTTAGTATTTAGAGTAGTTTGATATTGGAATTTGGTGTTTGGAATAGTTTGGTGTTGAAGTTTGGTTTTTGGAGTATTTGGTGTTAAGAAATTTTAAACCAGTGAAAGAATTATTTTCTTACTGAATTAATGTATTAAACAAGTGAAACTGTGTGTGTTAATTATACCAGTGACATTGTTTTTGTGTGTTAATTAAGATATATGAAAAATTACAAGTCGATATTTACAATCGTTCATTTCAACGGTTTATGAAAAGTCCTTTATATACTTAATTTGAAATACTGAAACATGTAGATACCGTGAAGTGATGTAAACAGAAAGTAAAAGGCACCCTAAGAAAAAATTATAAAATAGAAAAATAGTAATGCATTAATAAATCAAGTAATATTAGTATACTTTATAATGTTTTTAATAGTTTAAATTGTATAATTATTAAAATGTATTGAAAAAAGAGTAACTTTTTCAGTTGGACGAGATTTTAATACTGAAGTTTATATTTAAAAAAAGGTATACAATTTTGTTCAATGTAAATTTATATATATTTATTCCATATCTTTCATTTATTTTTTCAATCATATTATATTACTCGCCATAATTGGAAGTGATGTGAAAATTTTAAGTGAACGTGAGTGCGTGCGTGTATTATATATTTATTAAAGTGAAGCAAAATGAAGTGGATATATATACACACAAAAGTACAAACAAACATGGTAAAATAACCAACACACATGTACATATAGAAAAATTCATACACACAAAAATATATATACGTGATATTATATATACTTAGGTCAAATATTTCTCGGGTATACAAAGAGTTTGCTGAACGGCGTTGTTCGATTTATATTGTTAATTGGCAGTGCTATGAAATCAATTTTTTCAGTTTATTTAAACACTTTAAATAATGATAAAGCTATGATTCTCGATTGTAGAAAAAAAGGGATGAATGAGACTTTATTTATTAGTAATTTATAATAATTAGAAATAGCTTGTTACTTAGAAATGAACAAATTATATGACATTGATCCGTAAAGTCGTCGTTATAAATTGAAAGAAAAAATTTGATTGAATTAAAAATACCGATGTTTGCATTATCCACTTGAATTACAAAATTTTTCTTTAATTGTATTTATTAAAAAGAAAGAAAAATATTCGTACCAGTACAACAGCATCGTATACATCATATTTAACGTTCGGATAGTAATTCACAAGAGCAATTTTGTTGAAAATGGAGATTCATCTAGCCAAGAAACCAGTAAAACGCCTGCAAAGTTATCAGGTAATCCTTGGTAGAGCCTAAAATTAAGCAGTTATAGCAATTCTCAAAGTGGTATAGGGTCGTCTGCAAAACAAGCGGGCAATATATAGTTTGCGAAAGGTCAGCGAAGCAAATAGGCAATATCGGGCACAACAACTAAGTCTGAACGAATAGCCGTATCCGTATAATAAAGGGCTGAGAAAAGTCTGCAGCTTGACGCGAAGTTGGGCAGGGATAGGGTATGTGCTTGAAAGTTTCTTTGGCCTATCGCTCTTAGACTTCGGTGACGCCGAGCTCTTGTACACTTACATCGGCCCCTTTTTTTTCGCAGACTCCGCCGAGAGACAGTGTGAGCGCCCGCCTAAGGAGAGAACACAGGGACCTATTTGCAATCTGGAACGCCTCGACTTTTTTAAAAGTTCCACGGAGCAGAAGGAGCCCTAACGTTTATACAGGCTAATAAGTTCCTCCGCGAGCTGCAATTACAGAAGCGCTTGCAAGCTTGCCCGTTAACGCCTAATCATATTTATGGCTGTCTAACTCCATTTTAACTTTTCGACAAATCCCGACCATTAACGCATTTTCCTATTCAGCTCTTATTTCTATTATCATTATTAATTATTTCTTCTTATCGGTTGAGCTACATCACATATTCATCTTTCATTTTCGTTTTTATGATAATGTCAACTTTACGCTACGTTTATTCACAACATTCTTGATATGTCATTGATTTTAAATCATTTCTCATTTAATCATTTTCAATGATTAAATTAACATTTTGACTCGTTAAAAGTGCACGCAGCGCTTTTCTTCCTCATTCTCTCTTTCAATCCTAATGTTTTATGCGCGCGCAAGATCTAAGAAGGGAGCGCGGGCGGCCGAGAAAACAAGCCAAAAGTGAACTTTTGCGGATACTGCACAATTTTTCAGCCCCCCCCCCCCCCCCCACTTGTTTCGCTAGCAATGAGGCGTCTTATCTCCGTTGGCCGCCTTACTTTCCGGCTGCCGCCATGCTAACTATGACGCACTCAGCGAGAGAGCACTCTTTTGTGACTTTGTCGCAACTTTGCTTGTTTTTCTTCAGCTCCCCCCCCCCCCCCCTCTATTTACGCTGCGCCTAATGATCTTCCTGCGAGCTAAGTACATTGCGCGCGTATACGCATTTTTGTAAAATGTTTAATACAATTAAAAGAGCATGCAACGTCGACATTACAGCACAGATTATTATAAGCAATCAGTATTTTTGGAAATTGCTACGATATGTTGTTTTGTAAAAAACTCGTAAATCCGCTTGACAAATTGAAATGATTTGTCCCAGACAGCGCGTCCAGCTTTTCACCTTACACTGACAAAATCATGAATCGGAAAGATTGATAACAATTATGACCTCGTATGCTTCACTTCGGTGTTGAGAATCTTGTTGAAAAAGTGCAGTACATCATTGTATCGGATCTTAATGACATAAAATCCAACCAAAAATAGAAAATATAAATAGTAGCCAGGAATGAAAATGCAGGCGTTTGGAGTGGTTTCATTTTTTGATGAAAAAAGGGGCGGGGCAAATATAGCGGCTGAGGTGGGGCCTCCAACAATATATTGAATGTAAGCTGCCACCATTTTATCGATAGGCCGCATCTTGATGTTAAGCTGCAAAATTCACACCATCCAATTATGGATCAATGTACTTGTTAAAAAAATTGTAGCGTACTTATTTAGCTCTCAAATTCGTCAGCATTCCTAAGTTCCAAACGTGGCGAGTTTGTTTACTTGTTTGGCAATCCAAATCACTCTGTGCACCTTTCGATGAAAACATTTTTTAAGTATAAGGAAGAGTGGGGGAATCTTAACGAATATGAGAATTAGAAAACACTTTTAAAAAATTTTGAAAGACCACTTGGAAGCAACATGGTGTGAGTTCAGCCGCTGACGCCGAACGAGAATGGGACGCAGTCAGTAGGGACGTATACGACATAATAATGTTAGATAGTTACGTATTACTTCAGTATATATATGTATATCGTGTCGCAAAAATGATGGGCGCTCGGCATGCGACAGATGAATGCATTCGATGGCAAAAGCCAAAAAAGGACAAGTAACGCAAAAGAAACAAGACCCTCTATCTCGATATTGCAGAAAAAGGGTATACTAGCCAAAAGCTGGCGGCAAAGAAGTTGGGCGAGATATGAAGATTGCTGACTAGCGCGGTATCCCGCAGCGCACGCTCATCTTCTGAGCCAATCAAATAAAAATCTCGAAGAGCGCTAGACAAAAAAGAGAAGAAATTTCTCAGCTCTCGTGCGCCAGTATAAGAAGCGTCGAATCAGTATTCGTCGGCGCGATTTCAGTATAGACACGCCAAAAAGGCAAGCAATTCTGTTTGCCCGCCAGCAATCACTCCTATACTTCACACACCGACCAAGGCCATTTTCGAATTTTATCTATTTTTTATTCTTTTCAAACTAAACTTAGTTTCAACTATTAGGTCCTTCTGCTAGTATCTGCTACAAATTTTGTTACTACTTAATTAATCGATACCTTTCAAAAATAGATTTATGAAATTGAATTCGATAAATGTATTCGCTCTTAATATAAGGATTTACTATTATTAATCATTGGAGAGGATCATATTCCTTCAAAAAAATATGATGAATAATATCTAGTGATCAAAAGTATATTGCAGCGTTCAGGAATGACTAATCTACTATAGATTACCTTTTTAAAACTATATATGGCGGTGCAGCCATCTATCTGATGAGGGAGTAACTTAGGTATAAAAAGAGGTTGTACTCTAGGCTAATTACTGGAAATAGTATAAACCATTGTCGGTATATAACCATTCTAAAAATTAATAAACTTATTAACCTTCCTCTGACCCGATTTTTAACTATTCATAACACTAGTTTATATTGTTATAATCACTAATGAAAATTCAATGTTTTCAAGTTCTTTTATCAAACGCAAGAATGAATTCATAAATAAGAAAAATTGGTATATAATTGATAAAAAATATATTTAATCTATATACATCACAGTTTCTTACGAATAAAATCTACTTAATCTAATCCAATCCTTCTTTCTTTTCTTTTATAGCTTCCTGTAAATTAAATTAGTTTAGTAAATAAAACTTTTGGAACAAGATTTTCTAATCTAATTATTTGTTACCTTGAACCTTTCCTCAAAAAGCGACAATTCAGCAATGAGATCTGTTATAGCATGCATAAATGCTTCATGTGGTGTATAATCTGACGTAGTTTGAATCCTAATAACAAATTTATGCTCCAGTGGATGAGGAATTTTGTAGCCAGCAAACAATACTTGAGGATCTTTCAAGAGTTGGCTATAGACAGATATTTATTATTATTATTCCTTATTTCAAAGCATTGATAGAATTCAGAAATTTTAATATCAAATAAGAAATTTGCAAAAATTACTTTCTAATCATGTTTCCAAGTGTATGATCTTCTTTGTTGATAGTGAATATAGCAGCATTAGGCACTTTGGTATCCTGTTCTTTTACAATTCTGTAATTTAAATCATTTCAATTAGTATTATTGAACTAAGTAAATTTCAATTGCAGTATATATTTGAATCATGTATTTGAATCTAGCATAAAACAATTTGTACCAATGCAACATTAAATCAATTGACATGTTATATCTAACAAAAATACTGTAAAGTATCATTAAAATAGATTGTTTTAAATATTAAGAATTAAACAATAGAAAAATTAGTAAACTCCAGTAAAACTTTTAGGTTACCTTTAAACATACTCTAAAATAAAATTAAAAAATGAATTTACTCACTTCTTTTCTCCTTCGTAAAGCAAAAATGATTCAAAGGTCGGCGGCGCGTTCATCTTCCTGGATCAAGAACAATAACACAACAACAATGCCTTTTTTCGACTGTCGTTAGAAGCTATAAAAAATGTCAAGTCGTCACTTGTCAGCCGAACTGAAGCAAGAAACGCAAGTGAAATCGAGTTAGCGACGCGACATTGACTGCGCAATGACGTCACAAGCTCATGAAGTCAGCGCCTCTATGAGGATCATTAGCAAAGCTTCCTCGAAGCATGCGCGGTAAGTGCACGACGATTGATTAAATGTTGATGCGCCACAACGTTCTTGAACTTGTTTCTCATTATTTTAATTTTTTCTTTGCAATGTCGCAAATGAAATAAAAGCCGCGTTCAATTCTTTCTAGAATGCCATTCTTCATTTTTTGAGAATAGTGCAGATGCATTTCCAATAATTGGTAATTGACAATTTGTAGATAACCTTGTGAAAAAAAAATAGAAAATTTTGCATTAATACCGAAATCGTTATTAAGTTACTCGGAAAACTACATATTAAAAAGAAATTTTCGAAAGAAATTTATAGCTTTCTGGTAAAAAAGTATTAACCTTGCGGGTGTGCGGATTAAACAAAAGGAAAGATAACGCTTACACACACCTATCCCATGCGACAATCTTGTGGGATATTAGCTTTGGCATTCGAGGCGCGTGCACGTATAGTGTACGCATACGTATAACTTCAATATATCTATCGAAGGCCTTACAAGTTTAATCCTCGTGCGCGATACGCAGCAGTAGCGCAGACTGCTAAATATATATACCTAATGTTTATCTATCGCTCGCTGAAACCATTTTAATCCACCACATGTAAGCGCTATCACGTATCGGAATCCACTCCTCGCTTTTATACCAGAATCTAAGGTGATACATGTTCGACAGGTTGTACGTGAAACTTCATAACGCAAAAATTTTTAAATAAAAAATTGCAAACTAAGAAACTCCACCAATTTTGCTTTTTCCGAGCACGCCTGATCATTGCAAAGTGGGCATAAAAAATAGATCACTTGAGTACAATAAATTCAAGTGACTGATTACATCATGAGCTATTCATTCTTTTGTTCGCCATTACGAATTCCAACGAGAGATTATTTGCAATTTAAAAAGTTGTAACTGCTGTGACACGTGCGTTTTCATCTCTTTCCATGGATAACATCTCTACTAGGAAAGCAAAAAATGAAAACTAAGCTTAGCTGCACCACATCTGAAGTGTTAATAGCTCATTGTCGATGTGGCATTAAGCTAGCATTATAGCGGCATGTACAGAGGAGACAAATGCAGTAAATCGTTAAAGGATCGTAAAAACCGACAATTCAGAGTCGCGAGTTTCACCTTGAAAAAGTAACGAGTCTGCACCAAAATGAAATGACTGTCGGTGAACACATTGCGGTAACTTGACGTCAGCAGCTTGCAAATTCACTGCTGCTGCTGTGCAGGCTGTAGCTGTGCTATATGCTGCTGCGCCCTGCCGTTAGCCGCGCTGTATGTAGCCGTATCGCTGTGACTGCTTCGGGCAGGACGAAGAAAAGAGAAAGAGGAAGGGGAAGAGTCCTCTCCTTCTCGTGCGCGTTCTTTCTCTCTCTCTTTCTCACTCTCGTCAGTCTCTCGTCGTCGGCCGCGAGGAAGGTGTGGGTGCGTCCTCACTGATTGTCGTACAAAGTATCTGGTGCGTGTGTCCCGTGATCGTATCCATCCTCCTGAGAAACAGAAAAACATGGCAAGTGAGGTTGACGCGACGGCGAATGCCCAGATAACCAATGCCGAGATCGTCCGTGGCCAAATCTTCGAGGTCGGCCCGCGATACACCAATCTCGCCTACATGGGTGAGGGCGCCTATGGCATGGTCGTGTAAGTATTGTGTGTACTCTATACGTGCTGCTTTGTGTAGACGAGTGCGTGCTTTAGGCTCTGTGTGTGTTTGTGTGTGTGCGTATGTGTGTATGGCGCGTGCGCTGCACGCATATGTGGTGTGAGAGAGAGTAACAGAATACTTTTTAGACGTTCACTTCTGCCCTTTCGACGGAATATCCTATTGATGAACGGTTTTATTGCTGTCCAGTGAAAGGGGAACGCAGATTTATAGATCTCTCTGCTAGTTATGCCGCGGACTTGGCCCTTACTTCCTTCTTATAGACATTTAAATCGCGTTTACGTTTACCTTTTCTCTTCCGAACCTCGTACAGTTTGTGCATTTACCTTGGAACTCGCACAAATTGTTACACCCTTTTTCATTTGCTTTCCTTGAACTCTCAGGTTATAATAGCAGATTTTTCATGCTTCGCTATTTTTGCAAGTTTTGTTGATTTTGACTCTTAAATGCTCCAAAATTAATTACTTGTGCACATGCCCATTATGAATTCCTAGAACTACATTTCAGTTCTTTAATGTTCATTAGTTTAAAGACAGTGAATAATTATTTGCAGATCTGCATATGACAATGTAACACATACAAAAGTAGCTATTAAGAAAATTTCAGCATTCGAGCATCAAACTTACAGCCAAAGGACATTAAGAGAAATAAAAATCCTCACAAGGTTTAAGCATGAAAATGTATGTATATTTTCTTCGATCAATCAAATCCAAATTGCTTTAGTTCTCTAAACTAATCATAAACTTTTGATTATTACAGATTATAGATATAAGAGATATTTTAAGAGCCCCCAGCATAGAGCAAATGAAAGATGTATATATTGTTCAATGTTTAATGGAAACTGATCTTTACAAATTACTCAAAACTCAGGTAATACATTTAATCATATATAATTGACATATTTCAATGACAGAATGTTCATTAAAGTTATCAATATTTTCAGGCTATTAGTAATGACCATATATGTTATTTTCTCTATCAAATTCTTCGAGGACTGAAGTATATCCACTCTGCAAATGTTTTACACAGAGACCTGAAACCTAGTAATTTGCTTTTGAATACCACATGTGACCTTAAAATTTGTGATTTTGGTCTGGCCAGAGTTGCTGATCCTGACCATAATCATGCTGGTTTTCTCACAGAGTATGTTGCAACAAGGTGGTACAGAGCACCAGAAATTATGTTGAACTCTAAGGTATATTGATCAGTCACATTTTTTTGATTTCCAATGGATGGTATGTACTATTTTTAATCTCATTTCTTTACATCATTTCAGGGATATACAAAATCAATAGACATTTGGTCTGTTGGCTGCATTTTAGCTGAAATGTTGTCTAGAAGAGCCATATTTCCTGGTAAACATTATTTAGATCAACTCAATCATATTCTTGGTATCCTTGGATCACCTTCACCCGAGGATCTTGACTGCATAATCAATGAAAAGGTTTCTTATTTCCTTTTTTTAATTAACTATGTCAACCAGTAATAAATAAAAAATTAATACAGAGTTTTTAAATATAGGCACGCAGTTACTTGCAGTCCTTACCTTACAAACCAAAGGTTCCATGGACATGTTTATTTCCAAATGCCGATCCTAAAGCGCTCGATTTACTAGATAAAATGCTTACTTTTAATCCTAACAAGCGCATTGTGGTTGAAGATGCTTTAGCACACCCATACTTGGAACAGTATTATGACCCAGCTGATGAGGTAATTCAATTTTCTATACAAACTATCTCATACTTTTAATTTACAAATGCGTCATACTCTTGTGACTTTTTAGCCAGTTGCAGAAGAGCCATTCAAATTTGACATGGAGCTAGATAATCTCCCAAAAGAAACATTAAAACAGTACATATTTGAGGAAACACTACTTTTCCAGAAAAATCGACAAGAGAATGCCATATAATAGGAAATAATCTTAAAGCAGTATCATCAAAAATTAAAAAAAAATTTTTTTTTATCCGTCATCGACGTTATTAAAATTTTTGGACGACTGAAAGAGGTACAAAATTTTCTTGTGAAAGAGATGGTGGTACACCTGTTGAGTAAGATTACTATGGCATAGAAAAGTACAGTTTTTTTGGAATAGTCCAAAAAGTGTAACCAATCTTTCCCCATGTAGAAACTTGTTATTGTAATCTAACAGTAATTTTTGCTTATGATAGCTATCAATTTATGTATAATATTGTTTGATCTATATTACTTTTATTTTTACAAAATGTGTATTCATGTATATATATTAAGTGAGATTTACTTTCACTATAATGTCGTTATTGGCAAAAAAATCTTTTTCAAGTCAAATGCCATGGCGATTATATAAAAAAAAAACAGAAAATTACTTGCATGAGACGTAAGTTAAACAGGAGGTTGTGCTACGAATTTTTGATTCTAACATGAATAACATTTTGCAGTTTCTGGATGTACATAAAACTATTATGATCTCAACAAAACTAAGTTGACTTAAGAATCATACACTTTTAATGCTGTCTTTCAAAAATGAATGCAACATTCGAACTCATTGTTGCTCTACATCATGAGAATCATTTTAAAAAAGTGATGAAAATCATGCCAAAGTACGAAATAGGATGTCAATTTCTACTTAATAGTTTATTGTTTAAAAAACCTGAAGTAAATATGTTTATTTTTCATCGAATACTGCTAAGTATAAAATACATCGTTCTATAAATAGAAAGTGTAAAACAATTCTAAATCTATATTTTTGTCACATAAAAGAGCATAAAAAAGATATTCAAAGTATTCTTTAGCATTGTCTTTAGTATTCTTTAGCATGCATTTAGCAATATCTTATAGTAATACGTTAGTTTCATTGCACAATTGAAAAACGTATAATATTACAATCAATTGAGTAAACTCAAAGTCAATTAGTTGATATTTTCCGCTTAATTCGATGAAAAATTGATTTTTCAAATTCTACAACGTAAATTATTTATTTTTTGATTACAAAGAGTATCAGCGTGAATAAGAGCGTAAACAGTAATTCAAAATATTAACAGAATATCAAAATATCTAAGCCAATGGTTTATTACTACACTGATACTGCCATCGTTGTGCATATAATGCACGTGTCAGTTATCGTTAACTTTGTGTTAGAAATAATTAAGATTTGTTCAACACTTTAGACATCAGCATTGAAAGTTACATGTATATATGTGTACGCAGGATGAAGCATGAATAATTTAATTTACATTCAATTGATGTATTGATACATAATTTCTGTAAAAATTGCGAAATCATTAATGCGATAATTTGTATAAAGTATTGTTTAACGATGTTAGAAAACAGTTTTATAAAATTATATCATGTGTCAGTTGTCTAAATATTAGGCTTACAATTAAATTTTAAAAAATAAATCGAAGAAGATTGGTTCAATGAAAATGTTTAGTTGGCTTAATCACGACTGAAAAACATTTTAACAAGTAATGGCCGAACATTGGGAAAATTTTCAGTGGCCTTGCATTCATCTGCAAATTCGTTATAGTCATCGTTAATGGCAGTGATGTTTGCATTTTAACTTTCATATTAATGTTAACATTTTTCATCTAAAATTTGAAAATTTTTTAAATAATATTGAAAAACATCTTTTTCGTCTATTTATATTCAGGTCTTGTAAAGTTACTTAAAAATTATAAATGGTGCAAATATAATTATATTAACAAATCATAAATTGATGCTTCAAGTGAGCACGTCGATGATCATTTGCTGAATTACATTATTGTCGTAACTATCAATGGTGGCCATATTGCATAATTATAAAATGTCTTTGAGCATTTTAATAAATAATTAAATTTCCTACAATAAAATTGTTAACTAATGATATTTTGATTTTTTTAAATTGCTTATTCTATTCACGGCAATAATCAACATTTTAACAACGAACTTGATGTATTTTTGATGAGTGAGTAATAAGTTGAGTCATTCATAACATATTTTTAACTGCGATGGAATATGCCACCTTGATAAAATAAAAAATTTTCAATTTCAAGATAGCATTAAATTTGTGATCGCTGTCTCGTTGAATCATTGTCTTTGTCACTACTTTTTGACTTTTTACGTGAAATTAAAATTTTTATCTGAATGTATATCTTTGAAAATTGTATGGGTCATTTTACAATGAATCAATCATTTAGGCAATGAGACGTCCTAAAATTCAAGTGCTTCAATTTACCTCTAAGAACTTCCATCACGTACAAAAGTATTGAAAATTGTAATTAATTGTATGAATTGGCCCTCTTCAACATTGTGGATTGTAAAATTGACCACTGGTCAAAGTAAGAAAAAATTAAATAAAAAAGTCGAGCATTTCGATTCATAACTTAAAAATTAAAACAGCGTTTTGATGTAATAAAAAATAATAAATGATCGTGTAAGGTTTTTGACATAAAAATTTAAAGTGAAAACAAAATCAAATATATTTCTTACTGCAATCGTTCCTACGTACTAGCCAAACTTCAAGAGTCGATTGCATTATAATTCATTAAGTGATTTATATGGTTACTGAAATCAGGATTCGCTATATACATTATTATAGTAACATAATCAGGCCTAATATACTTAATGTTACCTGTGTATATCTGTTGTTGCTGAATCTTAAATCATAAATATCTAATATTTCTAATATTTAGTCTGTCAATTTTCAGTATTGTGTACAATTCGTAAAAAGAATATGTGCATCTTGTTGCATTGGATATGTTTAATAAAAGTTGATCGATTTATTCAATCTTCAAAATTAAATGGAAAACATATTTTTTGACAGACAAGACTGATTTAAATTTTATTGCGCTACACTTGTTCAGAAATAAAATTTTGAGCACGATTATTAAAAACAAGCGTGTGGTCGACAACAGAAAATCGCTAGACATCTGATCAATGTAATTAGAAGAATATGCGTTTGCATGACAATTAAATTTTCAAAAAAAAAAACTTGTTTGTAAAGTGCTTTGTTGCCATAAATCTATGGATGTATTTACGAGTAGCTTTTTCATTGTATTGAAGTTACGTCATTTATTTATTCAAAGGAACTAGTGAAATTCGACGTTAATTAGCCATAACGCAAAAAATCACACAATATTTACAAAATAAATTAATAAATTTCGGAATGATTCGACTTAAAAAATTATTAATGTATCAGGCAAGTACACGAGTTTTATTAAGACTAAACCAACGTGCTGCCTTATGAATAAAATTATGCGTAGTTATTTCGCGAAAAGTGGTAATACTCAAGTTCAGATTATGACGGGTCAAAGGTGTTGATCAATTTAATTTTTTGTGCAACTTCGTGCATGTTAAGTAGCTTCAGGAAATGACAACATTATATGGGCTCATGTCCACTTTTTTGAAATATCTGTCGATTAGAAATTGGGTTTCTTCTATATATATATATCGTCTAATGCATACATTGTTGATTCTCTTGCAAAATAATGAAGTTTTAAATGTACGTAACATAAAATGTTGTATGACGATTATGCCAATTAACATCTCTATTGATGTTCATGATTATAAATACCAATATTTATTAGGTTTCCCTTTTATAAAATAGTTTTTTCTTTTATAAAAAATATAAATTGTTGATAATTGTAATAGTACCTAGTAATCCAAGTAAAAATTAAAATATCTATCTTTTTATGTTAAAGAACTTTCAATATTTTTATCATTCAATAGAGTTTATTGAATTTAAAATAATGTTTAAAACGTAAATTGTGGATAGAGAAGTTCTTGAATAAATCACATCTGAGTAAATTTTACGACTTTTTAATGATAAAAATTCACGCGTAAAATTAATATGATTAAATCCAGCTGCCAGTATAGAAAAAATTTATATACATATTCCAATATGTATATAATGATAACTTTGGCCATAAATTCGGTCATTGAAAGCCTCTTCCTCAAGGTTAAAGTAAATGAAATATTCATAGTAATTGAAAATGTTGTAATAAAGTTCTTTATTTTCTTGTTAAACTTACTCTACTGTTGAAAATACAGATAGAGAAAAAATAAGAACGTAAATCTATAATCATTCAAATTTACAAGACGTAATACCTATTTATTTTTACATAAATATATTTGTATATATGTACATACACTATGCTTTTACTACATTTCAAGTAGTATGTATCCAAAACCATAATTACAACAGATATTATTGTTTGCTGAGTATCATGGAAATAAAAATGGTATCAAACTGACGCTTCGAAAAATTATTGAAAAAAACTCAAAAAATGAAAGAAAATTAAAAAAATAAAAGGTCGTTTCACTTTGCATAATTTGAATTTCAAATCATTGTAGGCTTAATTAAATAAAATGGTTATGCAAGTTTCTCTAAAAAAAATTTTTATGTGTCATTGACTTATATGCGTGTGATTAAAACATATTGATCAATTTTTAATTGTTATTGTATCTGGCGCTCAACGCGAAGTAATAAAAATATTTAAAAAAAACTGAAATTTATAATTATTATATCTGGGAAGATATTTTTAATGGAAAATTATTTAAGATTGTACTAAACTAAAAACGACAGTATAAATCCGTTATTAATTTGACCAATCAGATAGTGAATCTGATAACATTGCATTTCTTATAAATTTAAAAAATTTATTCATTTATTTACAATCACACCTTATTATTTAATCAGAATCACTATCTTGCCTAGCAGAATATTTATCATTTTTTAATTCTATTCTAAGAGGTGACCTTCCTCTTGTGTGGTGATTCCTAATGCGTGATCGTAAATCGGTCTTCTTTAATGTATGCCTTAGATCTCTTTTTGGATATTTGCTATAAAAAATACAACAAATTATTTTAACGTTTATTTATAATACAATTAAAAAGAAATAACAAAATTTCACAAGAAGACAACTTGGAAAGGAACATAATAACATATTATAAATTTATTTTTCAGTATATTATACCGACCTTTCTGGTGAGTTTTCTCTGTTATTTTTAGAATCGTTTAGCCGCGACCATACAGTTGTCACTGTAGATGCAAGTTTAGGTTTGCGTTGGACAACTTTGATAACACTTCCTTTTGGTCCTCGAACTTCTTTTTCAGAAAGACTACTATCACTACTTTCTTCTTCAAACTGTACTTTGGACCTTATATCCTCCACTTCCTCTTCCTCCTCTTCCTCCTCCTCCTCTTGTTGCTCTTGTTCTTCGTCGTCATCGTCATCCTCATATTCTACTTTACCATCACTTTCGGATTCTTCAAGAATTTCTCCTTCTTCTTCTTCGTCGTCATCGTCTTGTGATCCAACGATTTGAACATCATCGTCCTCTTCTTCTTCATCCTAATCACCAATAAAAGCATTTATTATCAAATATTGCTGAATGCAAATGATAATACAAATGAACACTATATAAATTTTTATACTTCTGTTACATCGATATTACTAAAGTCACTCTTGATGATTGCTTTGGGGTTCGTCACTACAACTTGAATAGCTTCAGTGTCTACAGGTGGCAATCGTCTTCTTGCTGTGAGCCTACCTCGTAAATCACTTGTCACAATTTTTTCGGTCTAAAATAATGAAAATTTATATTACAATAACATAACACGTTGTACAGAACCTGTAATTAGATATGTCATACCAATTTTCTAATTTTTCCCTTTCGCTTTTGAATGTTTTGCTCTTCATCATCTGCATGCATGCGCATTCTTGGCATTTTACTTCTTTTTGACCACTCATCACTGGAACTTCTCGATTCACTGTCATCAGACAATTCAATAACTTCTTCAACATCACTATCATCGTCGTCGTCATCATCATCATCGTCTTCACCACGTCTGTAGCCTAATCTTTCTTTTACATTAGAATTTGAGCGCGGAATTTCTTTTGGTACATATTCTCTTTCAACAAAATCAGTTCTACCCCAGTTTTTCGAAAGAGTACCCCAAGGGTTTTTAGCAGCTATACCATTCAAACTTGATTCCCTATTCGAAGTTGGAGAAGTTTCTTTTATTTGTCTATAAGCACGTTTTCTGGATGTTGTTAATATACCTTTCACACCTAAAGCATCCAATAAAAAAGTAAACATATTGTTATTGGTAAAACAAATATAAAATTATATACTTTAAAATTACCTCCATAATTTGGATTTCCATGTTTTTTGTAATATTCACTCATTCTTTCAGCATGATAACCTTTTTTATCAGTCCTCATAGCAAACCTTAAAAATATGTTTCTTGACTCATGGTAGTTATTACCTTTCCTCCAAATACCAGGTGGTAACGGACATCTGATATCTTTTATGTGTATTGTATTTTCCTCTTTTGGATCTATACCGTTAACTATGATCAGATCATCATCTGAATCATCTTCAGTTTCATTATCCGAGTTTAATTTTTTTCTTGGATCTTTTTTAATCCCAGTTATCTTTTTAGACAAACCTAACATTGCTCTGACTGCCGATGGATTATCCAACCAAACTACATTACCTTGAAGATAAATAATTTATCAGGTAGTTATAATAATATAGAAAATGAAGTACAATTTATAGATTAGATGAAGTAATTGAGCTACATGTACTCACATGATACATCATTAATCCATTCTAAAGAAGCAGGGGCATATTTTTTGAAATAATCAAAAACTTCTTCCGTGCTCATATTTTCTGTCCCTCTCATGTGAATAACATTAAGTCTGTAATCTCTTATATTGTCATCATTCATACCAAAGCTGAAAAATAACTCAATTACTGCATTAAAAAAATATTTGATATTTTTTATCTGTAGTTTAATGATAATAATTAATTTTACCTTTCATATAAATTTTCTGCTTCTTCTAATGCAAAACTTTCCTTGGTTTTTGTAAGATTAAATCTTTTAGCTCGCTCTTCTAATTTCTCTTTCGATTCTTTGCTAAATATATCTACACCAGTGATGAAAGAACCACCTTTGTTTTCATATTTACTAGGTGGTGGATCTTTACTCTATTAAAGTAAAATGTGTTAATGTAAGCTACTTATTGATACAGGTAAAAATCTTTCAATACTTACAGCAATAACACTGGCAATAGCTTTTCTAGAGACACGGTTAGATTCTTCTTCTTCGTACTCTCCTTCTTCTAACAAATCATCAAATCTGTCATAGTCTGCACCAGCATCAACATCCATAGGTTCTTCTGACTCCATTGCTGCTAAAATATTTTATAATTCACATAAACGTATTTTCAACAAGTATATAGCGTTAAAACGTAGTAAGTATCAATCAACTGTTTACTCTAAACAGATACAAAAATATATGCGGAGCACGAAAGAATAGTTTTGTCAATGGAAAAATTGATGTAATAATGAATACGAGTAGGAAAATATGATAGAAATACACAAATTATTGAAAAAAACAAATGCTAACCTTTAATAATTTTTTTGTTTACTATTATTTTTACCGAAGAGAGCAAGAGGCTTGGTTCATCAAGCGACCCGCACTTCCGATACGCACGCTGCGAAGGTGAAATGATCAACGCTATATATGATGTATAAGCATAAGCCTATCCTATCATTCCTATCTAAGCTAGGCTAGGTTGGCGTTGGCATTATACTGGTTGGTATAGCGGCCCTACGGCTGCGGTGTTCGAGCTGCCATACCAAGGATTGGTATTATAGAAAGCGTTCTTACGTACATTTTTGTAATTTTCAATTTATTTGCTTACACTGAGCATGAACACTATTTTCATTTTAAAAAAAAATAATGTACATTTTTTGATACATTACCGTTTTACGAATGTACTTCATCTTACAAACAACAGTGAGATATCTATATCTAAATCAGTTGTTTATAAGTTGCTAACAACAGTTTTTTTTCAAGAAACAGAACTTATGCAGTGTGGGTTAAATATTTTATATTGTATGAATACTTCAAGAATTATATTATCTTAAAAAATACTAGGTTTTCGTAATGATTCAAATTCGAACACATACAATATGAATGATTCATTAAAATTAAATTACCAGAAAGGTTAACAAAATTCAACAATATTTTCATTCAATCATATAAAAATATAATTTTCATAAATCTCATGATCGAACTCTCAACAATGCAACGTAAAGTTATCCGTGGTTAAAAACATTTTTTTCGAGATCTATTCCGATGTAATTAAATGTCTGACCTTCAATGTATCTAATCTATTAGAATAAAATTAAGCGCATAAACAGTACTCGCTATTAATTGTAACATTACTGCTTTATGTAAACATCCGCAAAAAAAATGTCTATGTAATTATTTATGATAATACCAAACAGATCAACAAATTTAATAATTAATCACATTCTTTTTTGAAGAAAATAGAGCATAATTTCCTTTTTATAATTGAAAACTATTTGTAAGCGAATGTCTGCAACACTTCCACCTATATTACATTTCAATTGTTTAAGTTTGTTTTTTTATAATTTTCAATATAACTATTATTAGAATTGTATAATTATGTTTGAATAAATCAATTATTCCAAGTAATTATAAAAGATGTAATACATAATGTTGATATTCGAATTTTTTTTCTTCTATTTTTCTTCTCTAAAAGAAGATGGGCCTATAAATGAAGTCAGTTTATTCGTGATTTGATTGACTGATAAATAGTCATGTGGTACATGACGGTACTTGTGTATATAGGTTGTAAAATTTAGGGCGCGTGAAGCGCGCTGTAGATAACTAGCTTATTTAAAGTGCGTGATGTCATCTGCAATATCCAGCTTCATAATATCCTGTCATCGTTTTATAAGACTGGATTTGAGAAACAATAAAAGTTTTGGCAAATGGACTATTGAAAGAAGCGTGAGAGCAAAATGAAGTTCAGTATTGTTGACGAATAACATTTTATAATGCTATTATTTTTTACACTAATCTCATATGATTGCTGAACAAAGTGAAAGTTTGTGCTCGCAAATAAGTGCAAGTCCCAATTGTGCGTCGTATTGCTTGATCTGCAAGAACTGCTTTCGCGCAGCCTACTTACAGCTGAGTGTTTGTAGCTGCGGCGAAATAAAGAAAAAATAATTTGGCTAAGCTAGCAAAGGCTTCAGTTATGTCCTCCCCCGAGAGCTCACATTGCTAATATTCTTCATGTGAGGCTTTCCTACAAATCACAACTGAACAGCTATGGATTTATATAATACAATATCGACAAGAGTGAATGTATAGATGGAACGTCATCGATCCAAATAGATCTTGTAAGGCAAAACCTCTGCTCATCGTCATTCAAGTGCTGCCGATAGAAAGCTCAAATTATTAAGCCTTTACGTTTGAAAAAAGTTTATTTTGACATTCCCATCCGTTGAAAACTTGAAATTGTACAATTTAGTTTATCGCAACAGTAAAATGGATAGAAAATTTTGAAGGAATACGATGATGAGGCTTAAATTAGTAAGATCTCAAAAGCTATTTAGGTATATAGAGAGATCCGCAGTTGATATTTTTACACCCTCCATTTTCACTTATTACTCTAAAGCCAATATTGTAAGTATTTTCAATTGCAAATTGAAAAATGCCTCATCAAATTTTTCGTTTGCACACGCTCGCATACACTTATTCGATCATTTAACACAATATTTAACATGTTAAAAAAATTATTTTCGCAGTGTTAGCGGATATTTTGAAAATCAATTAAATAAACGAAAATTGTCATTCATTATTTATTTTGTGCATAATGCAAAGATTAAAATTTTCTTTGATTAACTTCAATGTATTTATTAGGTAAAACAAACTTGCGGCACAATAAGCCAATACATAAAAATGGAATAAGTTAAGGAGTATGTTGAGAGATGCAACAATTCTACCGTGATGAAGAATTTCTTTAATAATGGTGTATATTTTAAATTCTCCCGCATGTTTTATAATTATTTTCACTGCGTTATTGTGAGTTGACAAGTTTTATACTTGAATTGATATTGAAAAGATATTTTTGATGAGTTCGCGACAACAGTCTCCTTCAAATTGGAAACTGCTTTCTTTGAAAATAAATCATTGTCGAATAACTAAGAGCTGTTCATTATTCTCGCTTTGTACTGGAAACATCGGGAAATTGTCGCCTAAGTGGTTTCAGCTGAGTTGGCTCGATCACCCTTCTATCTAATGGGATTTCCATCCAAAGCTGCGCTCCGCGGTAGCCGTCGAGCTGTTTTCTTAACAGCGCTGTCTCGCAGGAGCTCCGCCAGTCGAGGTGCAGACAATGACGAGAACTGATTCACGGCCTGCTGTCGTGCAGCAGCACTCCACCTCGCACTGATCGGTCTTCACCGCAACCGCCATCTGTACTCGTATTGCGGTGTCGAGTTCGTGGTAAGCTGTGGATTTCAATAGCTCTGTCGGAACATGGTGTGCAGCGTTGCACAGCTCGTTTCTTCCCCGGAACTAATCAAATCGGGTGCCCCACTGACTGACGGAACGTTTGATTGCTAGACTTGAAGATCGCGTCGACATTCTCAAGAGCGATTTGGGACAAGAAATTTTCACGTGGCAGTTGAGGTACTCGGCCCTAGGAAACGACAACGGTAAAATTTCAAGGAAAATTACGCACAGTGAGCTCTTATGCTGATCAACTCATTAGGAGCGATCCGATAATCAGCATCCAAAAAATTCACGTCATTTTCAAAGAGTTCAAGGGCTGTTTCAGGCTAACAATCTTAACAGAATATACAATTTATAGAATTTCAACTTTTTTGATGAGCCGAGCCATCGTTTCTCTCGACCTCATTCTGTCAAAGTCGAGTTTGTTGTTATTGTTTTATCTATCTATATACTGCTGTAGCTCGAAGTTTTAAAGGAACTGTTTCTTCGTATAGAACTTTTTGTCATTTCAATCATCTATCTCCAATATTTAATGCACGTGTTTATTTGCAATAAACATCTCCATGTAGTTCAAAATCCGAAATGTGACAGGGAGAGCAAAATTATTTTTTACTCAAATTTCCTTCGATATAATTAAATTAAAGGAAACCTGTAAATGCCGAGGAAATGTGTTTTCCAAATAAAATCGATAACACGAAGTATTGTAAAATCTAACTTGGCGTTTATAAATGGTTCGATCGATCTATTATCCAAACAGTCTTGTTTGCACGTGTTTGCTTTTACGTTAGACGTCGCATAGCAACATAATATAGACTGATACAATTTCTTATAATTACTCTACAATATGAAAAACTGAGCAGACTAGCGAAATGTTACCATAAAAATAGAAAAAAATTAAATTGAATTTAAAAAAACTAACAATTCCCTTTGCTGGTCGATAATAACATTTGACACCCACTTCAACGCTTTTCGCCTTGCTATTCCTTCTTTTTTAATAGTTTTTCCCATATTGCCTTGACCCTATTAAAAAAAAAATTGACGAAAAATATCGTATTAATCGTTACTAAAAGAATAAAATCAATCATTTATTGTAGCTTCGATAACATGTGATCGAACGAAATCCTACATTATTTCTTTTTTAGTAACAATCAAAAGTACCGAGTTTTTTTTTGAAGTATTTACAGCTTTTTTCAAAGTAGTCCGATTGAAAAATCGATTTAAAAGATGTATTAGCCTAAGGCTCGTGTCGAAGAAGCACTGATTGACCAGCGAAAAGAATGTGGCATGTTTTTAAGTGGATAGTTAAAAGATGGATTGAAACTCGTAAAACAGAAATGTCAACAGACGCTGTCGCAGTCTTCGCAGTCTCGTTCGTTCTACCAATGAAACTTGACGCACAGTCTAATAATTTTCTAAGTCTGACGAATAAAAGGGTCTGTTTAGGAGAGGAGACGGGCATGGACAGCGGTGAACGTCTTTTCAGGAGGAAAACTACCTCGCGGTCAACGCAGTCAAAGATAAGGACGAAAGCACGATCGAGCGGGAAGAGCGTGGCGCGCTTGCAGCGCACAAAAGGCGAATTTTGGCGGTCAGATCCGTGCGCGTACAGCACGAGGCAGAGCTTGCGACGGGAAGGGGGAAGGGCAGGCGGCAAGTTGTTAGCTGGTGGAAAGGCGCGTGCGCGTTTATCGATCTGTAGGCAGCAAGCCAACAACGCGAGAGTACGAAAGCGACAACATAGGTAGCGAGATGCGCCCTTTGGCCGTCAGTGCGAGCGAGACGCCAAGAAAATAGCAACAGACGGTCGCGCGCAGCGGAGTACCGGCGATATGGCCACGTCCCGCTGAACGCGCTGGGAAACATGCACCGTCGGAGAGGGCGGAAGGGGCCGTCGGCGGACTGGCGGCAAAGGTGAGATTGCGGAGGCGCTGGCACGCGCCCTCGGCTGCTCCTCGGCATCCCCTCGGCATCCCCCTCGGCATCCCCCTCGGTGGCGGCGGTGGCACGGTGTGGCGCTCTCGCAGCGCGGCGGCGCCGGCGGGCAACGCCGCCGCGGCTCAAACTCGCGCACGGAGCACAGTCGAGCAGCGAGCCTCGCTGGGGCCGGCCGGTCGCCTCTCCGCAGCCTCTCAGCCAAGCTCGCGTGCCAGCTCGTTGCTTCCTGCCTACTATGGCATTGGGACAGTTGTCCCGTCCGTCGAGCAGAGACTTTTGAAGAGGAAGCAGGCGACCGCCGGCAAACCATGATCTCTAAATCGACGGAGGGCAACAACGGCTACCTGCGCTCGCCGATTATTAGCGAACAGGGCGAGCTGGCTACGAGCGACAGTGCCGATGTCATGCCAGCTTCGCTACAGGTACCGTTTGAATTTCACACTCTCAAATTTTATCGATCGCTCTCCGTCGTTCATATTCCAATCAATTTTCAAAAATGAAAATCCGCAAGCAACAATAAAATCTCCGAATAATTTTCCAATGGTCTCGCGAAAAATTGGTTTAATATACAATGAGGGACAATGCTTCGACGTGATAAAACTTGAAAGCGCGGCAGTCGTAAAGAAATCACAAAGGACTTTCCATAAAAACCAAGTTTTACGGAGATTCAAACTGTTGAAGAATCGCCAAGACTTGCAATTCGAACGCTTCAGCAGCCATTTACTCACTCGGGACAAAAGCTCGCTGCCATACGTCACATTTGCATTTTAAGAAGAACAAAAATTACCGTTGTTTTTCTTTTTCTTTTTCTTTTTACGCGGCTTTTTACGCGTTTATCTCGCATAAGAAAAATAATGGCGATCATCTTGGCAATTTACTTTTACTATATAGACTCGAATGAAAAGAAGAAGAGAAAGATATGTTTGAAAAATGTGTTGTCAGGTGAATTACGGTAGGAGTGGCTCGACGACGACGGACATCGTGAGATCGAACGGCAGACGGCCGATGGGTAGCTTCGCGAGAGCAGCCTCTATAACTTCACAACGTCGCAGGGGACCTACAAGCAAGCAGCAACTTATCAGCATCCTCGTTATTGCACTCTTGGCTCTGTGTATCTTTGGTTTTCTCTTCAGTATAAATACGTCGAGAGAGTGCGCTCAAGAGTCGCGTGAGTGCATTTTTAGTTCCTTTCTTTCCTCTCATCTCCGATATTCTTATTTCACTTGAGCGATAGCTTGAAAAACGAACCCACTTCGATGGTTCGATGGTTCGATTGTTCAGTTTTATCGCCTGCTTCTTTCAATCTAGCTGAAAGGCTGATTGACTTTCTTCTCTTCGATGCTATAATAGCTATGAGCGCGCGTAACTTAATCCGCCCGATCCGCTGGATCAACGATGGCTCGTAATTACTTTTCAATGATCGTAACGCTGTCGCTCATCGACGATCGATCTGACGAAAAAACAATTGAACGTTCTTCGAGCGACTTCCTTCGAATTTCATAGTTTTAGAATACAGAATGTACAAGCGTGTGCCGATATTCATTTCATTGAAGTCGATTCACAGCTCAAAATAAAGTGTTCGGAAGAGCACGTACCTCAATTCTATCGATAGGTTTTTCCAATTCTATCGGAGAATCCCTTCTTGTTCAAAGCGCGCTACAGCGGACAAGGCATATTTTCAGTTCTGAAACGTTGTACGATCTATTAATAATTTTCCTTGGTTCGTTTCATTGTATTTTTTTAATACAACGACAAGTTTTACGTCCGCTGCTTATCTTCATTTACCAGTTTTTTCGCTCAACATTTTCCAAGCACGCGGTGAGTTCCACACTCCATCAAGAGTGTCTTGTCTTCCTTTTCGCGTTCAACTGCAAAAATTACTTGGCTTTCAAGATCCAAGCTTATTTTTGAAATAAAAGCTCTTTTGTAAGTATCGTTTTGATCGTTCGCCATCCGTCGCAGTTATGCGTAACGCGCAAGCAAGTATAAAATCAATCAATTCTGCAATACCGGAGCACCGACGGGTTCACTGCGAAAATTAGATTTTTCCTCGTGTGCAAAGCATCAAAACATTTAGCGCGCTACTCGGTGGAAATTCAAAGCTGCGCGCTGAATTTCATCCCCTATAGCACACGAAAATAACCCCGAGCGTGATGTACGCGTGTTTAAAATAGCCATTTGCCAGCGGGAAAGATTGCAAATTGTCCGGTGTGCACCGAATTGAAACTTTAATCTGGCAATCTCCCGAGAGGGGGGAGGCAACGAGTCATTCTCGCGACGGTCTTATTCAAGGGAACGAAAAATATAATCTCGTCTGCAAGCCCGCGACGCGTAATTTCTTTTAAAAATTGACGGAACGAACGTGCCGCGCGTACACCGCGAGAGCAGTCGCCACATTATAGCGAAGTTATGGCCCCGCGCACACTGCTACCAATGATATTGGGAGGCTGCACTAACCAAGTTTGCGGGGTCACGTCCTGTGCACGTGTGCATACCAAAATCGGCATTGTCACAGACGCGAACTGCGCGTAGCCTGGATGCTACTCCATCAAGCCTTTCTGGGTGGAAAAATCGAAATTTCCTTTGATGCCGTCTCAGACAATGGAGCACGTTGTTCCCGCCTTGCTCAAATTTCGCCAGTGTATCTGCCACTAAGTTTAGTCAGGAATTGAATTGTTGAATAGTCCGTAGAGCCACGCTACGTTAGCGTGTTAATTTATTCAATTGCTCGTACTTTCACAGTTCTACAGTTATAATAACATTAGAATTCCATTCTAAATTCACTCAAATTTCCTGTTCATCAATTTGCAATGCATCCAGTTTCGAGATACCTCGTATACGATATACGAAGCTCGGCTCGTTTTCAATAAATACTTTATTCTGTGTGGATGTTTCGCGTCGTTGTTTTAATTTGACGTTTTTTAAATGTCAATATTAGGTGTGCTCTTGTGCGTCTTTGGCCAATTCAACCGCTCTTGGTAGCTCTCTACGGCTGCCTTAAGGCAATTATGTAAATCACAATTTGTCTAACTTCATGCATAATGCTTTGACGCAAATATTGCTACATACGTTTCTAATTTTCTAACCAAGTTTTATGTCCAACTGAATTATTTCGAATAAATTAGCATGAGTACATTTGGAGCGCAGTTGCAAAGATTCAATTAATTCTATGGATTCAAACGGTACTAGCATACCAATTCTGAATCGCCAGGCGTATTCAGAAGATCGGAAAATTGGTTCGAAGGCAGCTTGCGAACTATGTAAAAATTAAAGTAACCTGGTTAATTACCACAGTAGTTGAATTGAATAAGCAATTTGTAATCCGCGCACTCGCGCGTGAATAAAGTAAGCGCGCGGTAAAAGAAGAGTTTCTTTGCGAGCAAAATTTTCGTTAATTACGATACGAATCTTTAATGTTTATGTTTCAAACGTGAAAACCGTTTAATTTTTTTACTTTCAAGCACTTACCAGTAGCTTCGAATAATATGGCCTGGCATTGTACTCACGAACAAATCAACTGGTTGTCCGCACTAGCAATTAATAAAATTGCAAGTTGTATAGCTAAAAACATGTTCGGGCGAGTGAATCGCGTAACGCCACAGGAATACAGGAAACAGCGTTGACCTTTCGGCATCAAAGAAAGAGAACTCGATGAAAAAGTGACGATAGTGTTTTCATTCGGAAGCGTTGGCAAAACTGGAAAATGCACGGGAGAAAGATCGTTGCTTGTGATGGGGTCGCGAAAATTCAATAACGGTGACGACTTCGTAGTCTAGTTGGTTTTTTCCGGCACACATCACACTTCCCTCGGCAGCGACAAACACGAGAGCACTCTGTCCTTCAAATGAACCGACTACCATCCGACAGCTCTCACTCGATTTCACCTTCCGATCGGCTATTTCGTTGAACGCGCAGTTTGACGATGTAACACGCATGCACCGCGAGAGATTATCTTCCTTCTCAACGGATTGTGCTGCTTGCGAGGTTCGGATCGCACTTGTTATCGGTCGATTGTCGAACGCGTTGCTCAAGTTATAACCACATTGACAAAGTTTAAACTAGCATCCGAGCACTTAGCCGTGCGCGGTATGATTGTTGGAAATGCAATTTGTTAAAAGTTAGCCACTCGATGAACAGTCTAAAGTGGACTCAGACCGACGAAATGCACGAAGTGCACTAATTAATTAACTTTTAAGCAGCTTTTACCGCAGACCCCGCCTCAAAGACTTTAAACATGTCGAACGATTCGATGGAAAAGTGATGTTATCGTAAAAACACAAAATTTCAATTATTCGAAATCGATTTCAAATGCGCTGTATTCACATTTCAATGTAATAACCGAATGACCTTGTTCATCTGTATAATTGATTATTTTGATCCTCTTTTAACGATTCAATTAGTAACTGGATGTATAATCGCAATATGAATTTGATTTGGAATCTCAAGCAAATTTTTCATTTGATACTATAATTTACTGTGTTACAGATCTGAACGTTTGTTTGACGGAAGAGTGCGTACGAACAGGTAAAAAATCCAAGTGCCATTATTTTTTATAAAGTTATTAGAGTCGCTTGAAATAAAAAAAATCGCGCGTTCGAGCCAATACGAAATAGCGCATGCGATTAACTGGAACAACTCGTTAAATGTGCACAACACAGCGGCGAGCTTACTGTCGGCGATGGACAGAACAGCGGCGCCGTGCACGGATTTTTTCCAATACGCTTGTGGCACGTGGAACAAGCTGCACGTAATACCAGAGGATCGCAGCTCAGTGTCAACGTTCGAGGTGTTGTCTGATCAGCTGCAAGTCATCCTCAAAAGACTTTTAGAGGAGCAACCTGATCATCGTGACAACAATGCCACCCTCAAGGCCAAATTGTTCTACAAGTCCTGCATGGACATCCGTGGGTACAATGGAAAGCATTAAACGAAAGTCACGAAAACGAAGCGCGATTGCATAACAGTCTCTGTTTTATTGTATTTTGTAACAAAATTGATCTGATCGTTTACTTCGTCTCGTCTTATTATCGGTGTCTTTTCAACGGCCATTTTCAGGAGGAGACTTTCTTCTACTTAACACGTGTTCACCAATGATTTCATCGGTCGCGTTAGCTCTTGTACCTTTCTTATCGCCGTATTTACGCCATAAGGTGGACGCATTAAAATGGAACTGCCTGTAATCGTCTTAGCATCGGACAACAAAAGCTTACATATGCATGAATTCTAATTGTAGATCCAACTTAACTCGCAAGACCAGTCGACTTTGAAAATGGCTTTTGATAAAAGGAATGCGTTTCTTTGATTTGATCATTTCGCGAAGAGAGAGATGCGGATCGCAGTTGCCATGCCAAATATAACCCAATTCTTTTGTAATGTAATATCATTTCGTTGGCTTTAGCATGGCACGAAATAATCTAACGGAAATAATATTGTATGATTCAATATACGAGCTTGAAAGAGATACTCGGAGTCGCATTAAATTTTCATTTACTAGGGTAGCCTTACTCTAGTTTTAAAAGTAATGCAGTTTTTTTACGTTAAATTAATTATCCTTTCATATAAGACAATTACCGCGAAAAAGTCGAGTCTTTTGCATAGACGTTTATTGCTGATTTAAAATAAAATAAGATAATGTAGGAAAAGTTACGTGAAATACCTATCAATTAAATATTCGCAATTTCCAATTGAAGCGAATTTCGATTGAAAAAGCTCGCCACATTGAAAAATCTGTCCTCGTTGGTGCAGCTAAAATCCGTGAGATTGGAGATGAGCCTTTGAGGCAGATATTACGTTCGTTCGGCGGTTGGCCAATGGTCGAGGGCGACAAGTGGCAAGAGCCCGTCTATCCATTGGAAGATCTACTTGGCCGGCTGCGTGGTGAATTCAACGAGGGCGTACTACTCGAACAATGGGTTGGACCCGACGACAAGAACTCCTCGTCGAACATTCTCCAGGTGCGCCGGCAAAGTAAGACCTTAGCCAAAGACTAGGGCTCATTTAATGCGCATTTCGTCGCATTTGACGTTGCTGTCGAACCTCTTCTTTTCATCAACGCCCAAGTTTTTGTTGCATATCTAACTTTATCACCGACACTTTCGATAACTTTTTATTTCCAAAAATTTCGCATCACTTTTCAATGGATTACAAGTTATTTTTTGCACGATTAATTAATTTCACTTCACACCTCCAAACTTTTACGAGTATCTTTTCCGGGTATTAAACGCAATTTCATGTTTCGGATGATTTAATTTGAGTTTCACATCGCAATAATGCTGCATTTCGCGATGTTAAAACAGCGTTATCAACAACGAAATGTTCTGTTTGTACCTTCTGTACTTGTACGTCTGTGAAATGAATACTAATTCCGCGGATGCTCAAATTGAAATGGCTCTTGTACTATGGATCCATATTGCCGAAAATACACTGTTTTCATTAAAATTTTCGCGAACGGTAATAATTAGGCTCATTGGCGGAGATACGACTATTTCTTTCAAATTAACCGAACAACGGAAATGCGTTGATTTACATTTTCTCATTGCATACCTATTTTTTTATTTTCATCAGTGTACAATACAGACATTACTGCATGAAAGTTGTCGTGGCAAAATGTAAATTTTAACTGTTATTAGAGAACGAAAAGTCTGAAAATGAAAAAAGATTGTCCGATAAGTGGTATAATTAAACATTGTAGCTCGACCAGATGCAGTTGGCCTTACCAAGTCGTGATTACTACCTGAAGAAAAGTAGCGAGATACAACTAGCAGCTTATCGCCATTACATGTTGGACATTGCTGTGCTTTTGGGTGCTGATCCGGAAAACGCACCGCTGGAATGTGATCGAGTTATCGATCTAGAGAAGGAACTCGCCAATGTACGGAGTATTAAAATATAACATATTTACACATCGAGTTCACAAGAGAAGCATGAATTTTCCGCGCTCGAGAAAATATACATACATATATATTAATATTTCATAATAAATAAAGTTTGCAGGCGCGCTCGAAGTTCAATTCATCCGCAGGCGATGGAGAAATCAGATTTGAAAAGCTAAAAATTTGACATTTTAATTGCAGACATTTTCCACAAACAGCGCGCCCCGTCGATTGATTGAGAATCAAAGTCAATTAAAACGAAAATGCATTGAAATTGCGTGGCTCTCTCTCTCTCTCTCTCTCTCTCTCTCTCTCTCTCTCTCTCGAGTTCGAGCGTGTATAATTACTATTCGACGTCATTTTCGCTTATGCTTGGCGACAATTTCTTTTTTTGAACAGGCTTCCTTGCCCGAAGCAGATCGACACGATACCTCATCGATTTACCGAAAATTGACGCTTCGAGAATTGGAACGCGAAGTACCGCAACTGCGATGGCGAGCTTATCTCGAGAAGTTCCTTGTTTCGCCGATCACGGATGTTGAACCCGTTGTCTCTTATGCCATGCCGTATTTCATCCGTATGGGTCATATAATTCAGAGGACGCCCAAAAGGTACGTTAATTTTGCAATGGTAGTTTCGCTGATTTGAATGGATAATAACATTTATAAGGCAAAAGGAGTCGGATTGGGGCGATTCGAGTTTTTTTAAGCGGCCGATTGCTGGCTCAAACGATTGCCCATACCCAATGAATCGTCGTTGCTTTAATCGGATGCGTGTACATCCTCGTTATCGAACATTTGCCGTAATGTGCGGCGGGCATTAATCGATACGCGCGTGAATCCGACGGAGCTAACGAGCGAAAAAAGTTATTGCCAACGTGATATTGGATAACTCGAATCACGTCGTGAGCTCGTAGTTGCGCAGTTGAAATCATTCGTTCCAACTAATTAACTCGAACGTTCTTTTGGTATATAATCGGCTTTGAGCTTTGATCTCGCGTAAATTAATCAAACAGTTTATTCGGAATACGCTGGTGTAACCAATCAAACGAACCCCGATGGCAATTGTACAAGTTTGAAACGAGGCGAAAAAGCAGCGAATGCACCTGCAAACGAAACGCCACGTGCACCATTGTATTTTTGCATGCAACAACGCACACAGGACATTGCACAACTATATCCTGTGGAGATTGGTGATGTCGGTAATGCCGCACATGATCGACGAGTACGAGTCGAAGCGCATCGAATTCAAGAAGATTCTGCTTGGCATATTGAGAGAGCGAGTGCGCTGGTCGCGATGCGTCGAGTGGACCAACAAGAAGCTGGGTATGGCCGTCGGCGCCCTCTTTATCCGCGAGAACTTCAATCAGGAGAGCAAGGTGAGCCGGTTTTTGCTGCTTTCGTTCGCGCTCGAGCTTTCCGAGGAGTCCGCGCTTGCTTGCTTGCTTGCTTGCTTGCTTGCTTGCTTGCTTGCTTGCTTTTGGCCGACGTTGGCCTGTAAATGGAGGCGCCCTCGCCTCTTACAGCTTATTAGCGCCAACGAGCGCCGACAAAGTTTTGTCCGACATTTTGCCTGTTTTCTACCACGACAGCTCGATTTATTTCTATATTTAAGGGTTCTACGATCGCAATTAAAACGTACAATACAGTCTCGTGACACTCGTTACGAACGAACTGTCTTGGCCGATGGACGTTTCTGGTTGGGCAGCGAGCGTTCGCAGGCTACACGTGAGAGCGTGTAAGTACATCCATGCTAACAAAGTCGAAGCAATTTTCGTAGCACTCGGCTGGCTGTGCGCAAGAGTCTATGGCCGTAACAACGCGTCGCACGACTGCCATGCTATATATAAATGCGTGTAGAGTGGAGAAGCCTTGGAAAGATCGAGCGCGACAAAAAATAAATAATAAAATACGAAGGAGGCTCGGCGGCCCGTACACGGTGACGCGGGTGACGCGACCACGAGGCCGATAAGTCTTACGCGGACTGCTACTTGGACCAACAGGACACTGCGGTGGAGATGATACGGACGCTGCGCGAAGCTTTCAACGAGCTGCTCGCCGAGAATCAATGGATGGACGACGAAACCAGGACCGTTGCCAAGATCAAAGCTGACTCCATGAACGAGAGAATAGGCTATCCGGAATTCCTTCAGGATCCGGTCGAACTGTCCAAAGAATACGTAACGGTATTCCACGCATCTTTTTACGATCTGACAATCACAACTATCGACTTGGCTGGTCTTTCAAGCAACGCCTGTTTTCCTTTTTTCCGTGCAGTTGAATGTCACGGAAGATCAATTTCTCAAAAACATCTTCGCCGTGCTGAAATACGACGCGTACCATAACTTGCAAAAGTGGCGGCAGCCCGTGGACAAAGACAAATGGTCGACGGAGCCTGCAGTTGTCAACGCTTTCTACAATCCTAATAAAAATGACATAGGTATATGCGCGTATACGTGACGCAAGTTTTTTCGATAGATTCCTTTTCGCGCGGCTCCTATTTTTCACGCTTTTTCGCATAATTTTTGAGCAGAACAATCCAGTGTGCGATCAAACACTCGTGTGTTTTGCAGCGCGCACCTCACGCGCGTTCTTATTAATGCTTTCAAGTGCACACGGACGTTTGGTCGAATAGCGTTGGGAAGCGATGGAATTAGTGGAGTTAAAAATCCGTCAACGATCCGTCAACGAGAACTACGTGTAATAATACGATAGGGTTAGAGCTCGAAATATCGAATTTTGCACAGTGTTTCCAGCGGGAATTCTACAGCCACTGTTCTACTCCAAGCACTTTCCGAAATCGCTCAACTACGGTGGTATCGGCGTGGTGATCGGCCACGAGATAACGCACGGCTTCGACGACAAAGGGCGCCAATTCGACAAAGACGGCAACCTGCTGCAGTGGTGGAACAACGCCACTATACGAGCTTTTCGCGAACGCGCTCAATGTATCGTCGACCAGTACTCGAGGTACAAGGTGCAAGAAGTCGATCAGTACGTCGACGGACGTATGACTCAAGGCGAGAATATCGCCGACAATGGTGGCCTGAAGCAAGCTTTTCAGGTAAGCTTTTCAGGTAAGCTCTTTAGCACGCCATCCAAGTTTCTCTGATCGATGCTAATTCAGTTCTATAATTCATGAGTTTATTGAATTTCCACTGCTCGTCGGTTGACCGATAACCGTAAAGCGATGGACAAGGTGAAACTTGAATTGCGTTTTGCTGGCCCGCTGCTGTTATTCAATTAACATTTCACTCTACGAAACATCAGCTGCTCTCCTCTTGACTGTTTCCTTATTGAAAAAACTTGATAAATACTCTAATGAAAATTGCTACGTGCAGGCTTACAGGAAGTGGGTGAGAGTGCACGGCGAGGAGCCAGTGCTCCCAGGCGTCAACTTGACGCACGACCAGTTGTTTTTCCTGAATTACGCGCAAATCTGGTGCGGCACGATGAGACCCGAGGATGCGCTCACCAAGATACGCAGCAGCGTGCACTCGCCGGGCTTTGTCAGGGTCCTTGGACCGCTATCCAACAGCGACGACTTCGCCAAGGCCTACAATTGCCCTAAAGGCTCGCCTATGAATCCCACGCGCAAGTGCAACGTCTGGTTAGTGAAGAAACTTTGAAACAGAGAGAAAAACGCAATCGAACCTTTCTTCGACGTAATAATCATCGTTTTGCAGGTAATGCAGGCTTTGCGACGTGCCAAAGAAAACGAAAGAAGCTACAAGTTTCTGAATCATCATCGTCAACAACAAGAAAATCAAATGAATTGATTTGAGCAGATTCTCGCTGAAGAGAGAATTGAAATGAATGAGCCGCGCGGGAACGCAACTACATACGACTCAAAGAGTTCGCTAAAAAACTTAGATGTTCGCTGTATTCTGTCGTTTTGTCGTTGAAACAACAAAACAATGAACCGAGTTATTATATCCCAAGTTAGTATATGGCGAGTGAATTGGTAAATCCGTATTTGTTTTGTTCGATTGTTGGGAGAAAAGGAATTGGAGGAAAGTAAATAAATAAAATTAGAGCGATGTTATGCATTTGTTGAGAGATTTACTCTAGTATTGGAACATATCATCCATACAATTAGCATGGTCCATGCCGATCTTGCTTGTTTTTATGTAAAAAAAGGTGGAAATAAAAGTACTATACAACAGACAGAAGGCTCGCTTCCCACTCTCTATATACCGCACAAAAAAATGACGAATCGCGCCTCCTTCCTTACTTCCTTCCCTTTACAATGCCTCTCCCGTCTACAATCGCAAGCTTTAGTGCGCGGCTCTCTTCTATTTCGTACATATTAGCTGTTAGCTTGCTGTTAGCGCACTCGTTCACAACTGTTTGTCTCTCTTTGACCTGCTCGCTTACACACTTTCACTCGGTCGCTTCTTACGCTTTGTACATATTGCACGTTTCAACGGGAGACAACTAATCGCTCGGTAATATACAATAATACAATCATGTTCATAATTGCTATTAATAGTAATAATAGTCAATAATAATAATTAATAATTAATCATTAATAAGCGATAACAATTATTTAATTTATAGTAACTAATCGTCGTTAGAGTCGACTAAGAGAAGGAAGAAGAAACCGAAGGGGATAATCGAACACGAAACTGATATTTTCAGCACACGCTCACACACTCTCTCGCTCTTTGTTCCTCTCGCAGCGCAGTGTTCAATATCTAATGCACTCATTTCAGAATCGTTGGCGCACGATTTCCACAATCCTTTATCGTTTCTTCTCGATCCCTTTTCTTTTTTCTTGCTTTCAAAGACGTTTTTCGTCATTCATCGTTTGTATTCATTATTTACAGACACTTGCAAAAAAGAGGGACAGGAGGGTCGTCGTCATTTTTAAATTGTCTCTCGTGTGTGCGAAGGAAATGAGAAAAAAGGTTTCATTAATTAGTTATATTAGGCTGTTTCCTGCGACACGAGAGAGCCAACGCAAATCATCCTCGTTTGTTTATTATTTGTTACCAAGAAAAACGAAACGTTAGCTATTTTTTATTGTACACTATGCGTGTCTATATGTGTTTTTCTCAATTAGCCACAAGCCCTCCTTGCTCTCTCTCTTTTACGTACACATCCTCTAATTTGCTATTTACATGGTTATTTGTTTATTTTTTGTTTGTCATCTCGCCTACTACACCACGCGACACACGCTCTTTCTGTCATGTATACAATCCATCGATTCCGTTGTCTATAGTTTGTCTTTTTTATTCCTCCGTTAATTAGCTTCATATTTATAATTATATTAATCATTATTATTATTATTATTATTATTATTATTATTATTATTATTATTATTATTATTATTATTATTATTATATTATTATTATTATGTACATACAACCTGGGGCACTGGCAAAATCGACAACGTCCACAAAGATTTCATTCAAGGTAGCGTTTTGTTTGTTTGTTTGTTTGTTTGTTTCTTTGTTTTCTTTAATATCTTTCAATAGTCAACGTTTTCTTCTCTCCCGTTCTTTTCTCATTTTTCCAAAATAAATATCTATCAACTTTAAAAATTTACAATTTGCAGGTTAATTCGTTATTATTTTCCCTCTGCCATTTTTTATCAAAATAATAATACTTCTCAAGACTTCTAGAGCATCTCAACAACTGAAAAGTTTTTGGACCTCATCGAGTTTGTTGTCGCGAGTGCTTGTATAATATATAGACTGGCAAATCTTACAACGTATATATCTTTCTCGTCTTTCTCTGTGTGAGCAGATTAAGAAGCACCAGGACTTAGTATTTTCTTGGAAACGCTCGCGTGCAAGTTCAGGAACACTTTGTATTTTCCGTAACGGAAGTATAGAGTGAAGGAGCGTCCAAGTCCTGGGTGCAACTTAGCTGTTACATAGGTAAATCGTATATGGGCGTGTGTGTTTACATGTACAACTGTGGGGGATAAAATAGTACGCGTCGCATCGGTCGATCGTCAGTCTATTTTAGCGCTTTTCCCCGTTCGGTTTTTCTGCCAACAGTTTTGAACGCTTCCCTAATTGCCTCGCTTCGTTACTTCCTGCAAAAAGCTTACGCAAAAAAGCAAACCATTACTATACTTTTGTTTTGTCCGCGGTTGGTATCGGTATGCATAATTAGCGAAGGAAACAATTAGAGAAACGACCGCGGTATAGAGCGCGCAATGCACAAAACAATGGCGTATCATTTGTAACATTGCTCATTCACAATGTCGCCGGTGTACATTCAAATAGCTCATTAGCCATTTTTCGCGAGCCTCGCTTAACAATATATAGCTTTCTCATTTTCTCTCGCTTAATGTAAGAAATCAACGCCTATCGTCTTTCTCTCACACTCGCATATGTGCAACGATCGTCTAATTCACAAACGCTGCCTTACTTGAATAATGTTTTTAAGAGCTATATTCACTTTGAGTAATAGTTAGAATATACATAATAATTATTGAATGCCGTCTTCTCCTATATTCGCGAGCGCAGTGTTTCTAATGTACAAATAATAAAGTAAATTTTGTTTTCCATATATTGGTGCATACAATTATAGAGTCTACCTTATTGTTGGGTACATTCTTTTCTTAAACGGACGCAAATATACTTTCAGCAACATCTCATTCTCTCTACATCTATCTCGGACCAAGTGAACTTTCCATCTCTCTCATTCTAAGTTTATTTAAAACGTATAGGCATGTGCGTCTAAGCATTTACTCGTGTAAATAATAAGATTCACACATATGCGCGCGAGAAGCGTATGGGTCTAATTTCTTTTATTTTTCACGCTTTTTCTTAAATGGAGTAATACGTGTCCACGATTTTTACGCGCATATCAAATAGACAATGGAACGATTGTCTCAAAAAGTGATATGGATCAACTTAAGATTACGAATCTTTCGTCTTCCCTTTTGACGATAGATCTTTCGTTAAAATAATGAACATGCGTGATGTTTAGGTGTTGTAAAATTGCTAAAAAAGAAAAGAAATTGACATTTTCTCGATTGGCAGTAGATGATGATCAGCGTAAAGCTTTTAAAAAATTAAAAAGAAAACGAAAAAATACTCGTTATTGCTAAGGAATCTTGACAGTCTGCGTTTTCGTTTTATTCTTAAATCAATGTTATCGAGCAAACAAAAAAACCATCGATGCGTAAAAGATAGACTGGCTCACGCTAGCGACAATGCATAACAACTACTAGAATAAATCGAGGAAAATACATCTATTATGCAGTAAATTGCGTCGAACAAACTATACGCACGTACATTACTATGTGTTGTGTGTGTATATGCCGAGTGATTTCAGCGTATAAAAAATTTTATTTTCGTCCGAATAAGAAGATAAATACCCAATGGACATACATTATTAGTCCGCGAATCCGCTAATTTCTTTTAAATTTTGCGTATGCATTGTACATACAACAATGAAAATTCAGTCTAATTCATTCCAAAGCACCAATCTTATACAAATCTCTCTTTCTCTCTCTCTGCAAAGAAATAAAATTTGTTTACACTTGCCTATACTTTTTAACAGACTCGCTTAGCATAACTATTGTACTCTTGCTTCACAAAAGTTCATACGCGTTGAACGAACTAATAGAAAAAAATTATATAGAAAAAAAACAACTAAAAAAACGCAAAATGAAAATTGAAAAAGAATACAGTCAGTTGCGCTCTCTCGCTTGAATTTTGAATACATAACTTTTCTTTATATCTTTGTATAATATTATACCTTAATAAGGGTGATTAATATAGACACTACGGTTCTTTATTTTTGTTATCTAACAAAACGACGCGTATTTTGCTTATCGCAATTAATTATAATTTAATTAATCGTTAATCATATTTGTTTCTTTATCGTAATAATGAAGTATTAATAATAACAATAATATTAATAATAATTATATTATATGCGTATATATACAAGAGAGGGAGTAATGCAAAGTTTTCGTAAGTGTACATAAGTGTCACGTGTTTGAGTTGTTTACGCGTTGTCGTGAGAAAAAGCTGTCCCTTTAGACGCCTCCAAACGCACCTCGACGATATCTTTGTCCCGACGAATTGTTATTAATCCGCAAACATGACGGCAGGTCATTGTTGCGGCTGTATTTAGCTGACAAGTGTATTTTTAGTTCCCAGCGAATGTGTCAATGTGTCGGTGTGTTTATCGTGAAGATTTCATCGACAGTTGCATTTAATGTTTAAAAGTAAAATAACATTGAATTCAACGATACATAAAATTGATCTCTACGGTATGTCAGTTGGCAGTAGGTTCCACAACAATTCGCATGATTCGAATTGTCCATTGTCTTTTAGAGAATACAGGCATATTAAGTGAGTGTGTGTGTGTATTAGATAAGAAAGAAATGTTCGCAAACAACGCCCCGGTGGCAGTGTTTTTCTCAAAAATACAGAATTGCGTTTCTTTTGTTCGTTAGCATTTGTATAATTGATTTCGACATCTCATCTGCTCGCGTTCTTTCGGTCTTGTGTTTTTTTTTGTTTTGTACGCGATAATTTACTGTACTTTCGTTCTTATCGCGCGATGTTTGAACGCCGCTAATAACATGTACGTTTTAGAAAGTGAAAACCTGCCGTTGAATTTTTCTTCTTTTTATCTCCGAATTGTTTTATTCGGTTATCACACATTTTTTGGTAGGGCTGTACGGAGTTATCGACGTGTATTGCCTACGTTGTTTTATTATTGCACTGGAATAAACGCGAGATCGAAACAATGATTATCTGCTGCGGTATGTTTTTGTTTCGTCGAAAGATTGTGTGTGAATGATTATTTGTCGATCGAACCGAGGCGTCGCCGTGAGCAATGATACTAAAG